TAACTTCAATACCCTGTGCTCATTGATATGATAAACAGTGATAGAATTGCTAACATAGACAATTAGAGTTGATCATTTCTTATTGACACATTAGTAAGTGCAATGGAAGAAGACTCACTAATGCCATGACAGCATTTAATAAAGATTTGACCATAGAAAGTGGCTCAACCTTGAAGACCAAGGAGAAGCCAGGTCCATGAGAGAGGGGTGTGCAGACCAGGCACAGGAGGCTGGGGCGGCTGTCTGGTGAGGGTTACCAAGGAAAGCCATGCATGGCTGGAGTCCCTGGGGAAGGGTGAGTGGCACAGTAGAGACTCCCTGGAGGGGCCAAAGAGGCAGGTGGGCCACCTGGTAGCTCCGGGGAGAGAGAGTAGGAGTCTGGACTTGAGTGATGCTATTMCAATGGATTAGGGGTTTTAGAAACATTGACTTTTGCCTGGTGAAAAGTTGGATCTTGGTGTCYAGGGTATTGAAGGATTGAGAAGAGAATTGTAGAAAATACAATTTGTAAATTTCTGTTGTTCGTAACTGAATGGATTGTGTCTCCTTCACTTTGTTACCTGCTTAGCACCCCATTGGGCATTTAGACACATCAGGTAAATATTTGCTGAAAGCAAATGAGCATTGTTTTATTTAGGAAAAACTTTCATTCAACAGCAATATAAATTGCAGAAGYAGGAAATACATTACTCGGTGGAATCAAACTTAATCATTTTTCTTTACTTTGCAATGTGAAACTATCAAATTGGACCTAGAATATAGTCATCTTCTTCCAGGCCTTTAAAATAACTGTGGTGAGAGAAATGAAACACATGTAAATTCTGTGGAAGCCTTGATGCTGATCTTACTATGGTGGCCTGAATATTCGCTTTGCTTTGTTTTGTTTTCCTCTGCAACACGTTTTATGCCCTTGTCATAGATAATTCAAACTTTAACACCARTTCAAAATCCAGAAGGGAATATTGAACTCTAGGCTCCCCGTCCCTCCAGGCCTTCCTGGGTTRTGCTGGGTCTCACTCTCACACGTAAGTACACTGTGCTGTGGAAGGTGACATCACTGGAAACGGCAGCTATTTAGGACCTGTATTCTACTTAAAGTAAGGAATTGACGTTTATAACATTTTTGCCCTAAACATGTTTAAACATTTTGTCCTATAGTCTTTTGTAAACATTTGTAATTGGTACTACTACTGTTTGAGTACTGAATGTGACATTGTCACCAGTAATGTTCCGGATGTGCTGTGGTGTCTTGCAGGTGTGTGCTGCTCCCGCTCCTGGGCATGGAGCCCCCTCAGCAGAGCCTATTCCTGCTGGTGGACTCTGTGGATGAAGGGTGCAATGTCACTGAAGGAGAACAGACTGCCACCAGYTTATCTGGGACTGTCGCGGAACTGCTTGCTGGTCACCATGAGTTCTTCCCACCGTGGCTCCTGCTTCTCCGTTCTGCCTGAAAACAGAGTAAGGCTGTTACTAAAATGTTTACTGGTAAGCATACTTACTTACTGCCATCCGATGCTTCCACTGACCAGCAACCGCTTGTTTTCTTCCTAGAGTGAAGTGGGCAGTTGGGAATCTGGGTGTTGCCCCTGCTCCTTCTGTCACTGTTCTTAACTGTACCCTTCTACAGGCGTGTTAAAGACAGTCCGTAGCATGTTTTAAAGCTGCTTAAGCATTACTCTTTGCAGAACCCTCTTCCTAACTGCTTGGTAAAGGACGGTGGCACATCCTGCATGCTGACTGCCCCGGCCCTGTGGGGCTGCCTCCCTGCTGAYGTCCTTTGAACTAGACTAGCGTCTGAAGAGTAGTGAAGGCTCAGTGCCAGTCACTCTAGTGTTTTCCATGGTGTCTAAACAGAGACAGTTAAAAACCCTTTAGGATGTCACTTGAAATATTTCCTTTCTCTTAATCTTTTTTTGATAAGTGAGAAAACAGAGTATATAATG